CTCACTTCAGAGCTGGCCTCCGTTGGAGCGTCTCGGCTCGATGGTTGGGGTCCGAAAGACGATGAACACGTTTGGCTGGATACACTTGTTGACGTGGCGAGGAGCCGACCTCAGTGGATTTGGTGCTGTGAGCTTTTATGTCCCGCCCCATCCCACTTAGCATCCCCCTCCAACCACTGTCTCACTATTTAGCCTTATATAATTTTACATAACAAATTTTTACTGCATATTAGCCGGCTGGTAGCTTACCGGAACGATACCCATCAGTTACCGGTAACTCAGCTGGCTTGAGCCTTTGGCGTTTTTTCTGCTTTTTTCTTTATGTGTTGCGGCACAGTAACTGAGGTGTTTCCCACCTCTAGCTAACGTGTATAATGAATGATGACCTTAGAATGCTCGACTTCGTCTACGTCTACATTGACGATATTCTCGTGTGGCCATTTCCATTCATGATGAGCATCTGTCACATGTTCGCTCAATCTACGAACGCTTGGCTCAGTACCGCGTTATGATCAATGTCGAAAAATATATTTTTGGTCAAAGTTCTGTTGATTTTTTGCGCCACCAAATTGATTCCAACAGCATTCGTCCACTCCCCGAGAAGACACAAGCGGTTGCAGATTACCCCATGCCGCAATCCTACAAAAATCTCCGTCGTTTTGTCAGCATGCTGAATTACTACAGCCGTTTCATACCAGATTGCTCTGGGCTACTCCAGCCATTGACCGACTTACTCAAAGGCAGGTCACGAAAATTCGAGCCCAATCAAGTAGCTATCGATGCATCCGACAAGACCAAGCACGCGTCGTCCAACGCTACTGCGCTTAGTCATTTGAGGAATGATGTTGACACCACTCGCATCCGCAAGACTGATAGATCTCAAACCACCGTTGGGACTATTCTCCGGCAGGTAATCAACGGTCAAGCTGAGCCGCTATCCATTTTCCATCGCAAACTTCAGCCAGCACAGCCGCGATACAGCACTTTTGGTAGAAAACTTTCAACTATCTACCTCGCTGTCAAACATTTTCGGCACCTGCTTGAAGGTTGCACGTTTAGCATTCTTACAGACAATAAACCACTTGCTTTTGCTTTCCGTGGTTCATCCGACCGTTTCTCCCCCAGAGAAATTCATCATTTGGATTATATCTCACAGTTTCCGACCGACATTCGCCATGTTGATGCTGCCAATAACGTTGTCGCCGATGCCAAGTCGCGTATACGTCTTCATGAAGTTTTACGGCAGATGATTAACTTAGAAGACATAGCAGCCCCTCGGGAAGGAGACCTTGAGCTTTTGCAACTAGATCAAATTCATCGATCAAAATATCACAGTTGCCAATTCTTAACTCAGACTCCAATATTTATTGTGATTTTCCTACCGGCAAGCCCACGCCTTTTGTCCCTTAGCAATACCACCGAGTGGTCTTTGACCACCTGCTTAGAACCTCACACCCGAGCCACCGCCAAGCTGATTACTGATCGCTTCATTTGGTATAACATGCGCTTCGAGATCCAGCAGTGGGCCAAACGCTGTAGCAATTGCCAAACCAGCAAGATCCACCGATCGCCGTCCCCGGCACGTTTGCTCTTCCCGACGCTCGTTTCAAACATGTTCATGTTGACATCGTTGAACCCTTGCCTCCATCCAAAGGTTATGTCTACTTATTGACATGTGTTGACCGTTATACGCGTTGGCCACTTGCCGTGCCTTTACGTGATGCTTCTACCGAAACTGTGGCGCGAACATTCATTGAGAATTGAATTACCGTCTCTGGCACGCCAGCCATTATTACTACCGATGGAGGATCCCAACTCAATTCGGCTTTGTTTCGTGACATGAACCGCTTGCTCGCTTGTTCTCACCTACGGACTACCGCCTATCACCCAGCTGCCAATGGCATCGTTGAACGTTTCCATCGCCAACTTAAAGCCACAATTACTGCTTCGCAGTCGAACACACAACGGTTAGAACGTCTACCGATTACCTTGCTTAGTATTCGTTACACCACTAAAGAAGACATTGGCTGTTGTCCCGTTGAGTTGGTCTTTAGCACTACTCTCAGACTTCCTGGAGAAGTGGTGCTAGACAAGGGTTATTGGAGACGTTGATCCGACATCGTACCTCACACACCTGAGGCAACACTTTAGTACAATTCGTCCAACACCACCAGGTACACCCGGATTTACACACTTGCCCCTACGTTCTCCTGTGTGTCGATTCCGTCCGTAAACCTCTGACACCGCCTTACGAGGACCCCTTTAAGGTTATTGCACGGAAAGAGAAGTACTTCGTGCTGGATAGAAATGGTAATCAGGATACTGTGAGTATTGACCGCTTGAAGCCGGCTTATATCGAGACGCGAGCACAAGCGAAACCCCCGGACATTCGTAACACGGAGCAGTCCACCTACCCAGTCCCACCTACTCAGTCCATGTGTGACACCACTGTTCCCTCTTCTACACCCAAAGCATCTCACGACACAAACTCGAAATCGCATTATCGAACAAGCTTCGGCCATACAGTTCTTCTCCTTTGCGGACTACGATAAATGACGCACAAGTATCAAGCATTCGTCCCAGCGACTCAAGCTGTAGGGGGTGAGTTCTGTAGCGATTGTACATACCTCTTCTCAATCGTACCCTCCTATTCCCATTTCCATTATTATTGTACAGTTTTGTTTTAACTGACCAACAACCGATAAAGGACTTTTAAGGGTTTCGATTTGTCTTCTGGTTTCGGCAACGCGTGTTGTGCTGTTAATCGTCGTCGGTCTGCTAGCCTCCTTCATCGATCCTCTGATCTAACGCGTCGAATTATTGTGCCGACTGTTTCGTCTTCCGACCGGATTGTGCGACTAATTGACGACCTACCGAGGATCGTGCTTTACCGAAGGTCAGGTCCAGCATTCTTACTTTATAGACTGGGAGTTCTTTTATGTAGTTAAGCCCTTCTCGTTTGGCCTTTCCACTACAAATTAGGTTGTCCTCACATGAGGTAAGAAGTCTATTGTCTGTTGACTGGGCGGCCACCAAGATGAAATTCGCATGACAGCAGACGGCCGACTGGTTCATTGAAGTCTCTGGCGAGCACGACGACATCGAATTATTCAGCATTCATTTAAAGCAGTTAGTTCCGTTCAACAATTTCGAAAGCACGGAAAGAAGACGAAGGCTGCTAGATGCATGCATTTGGTATTGTCTCTTCAGTACCATTAACAATAACCGATACGCATAGGTATAGCTAACAGTGTATGCAACCAGACAAGCATGAGGTGCAGAACGAATAACGGAAGTTCACAGATACGCCCAAAGCAGCTTTTAGCTAACAAATAATCGTTTCTGAACACAGAAGGTTGGATTTATCCGGCTTATAGCGACAGCCTCAGCAAACCGAAGGAAGCGGGAATTAGTGTGACGTAACACTACTTTAAACACTGAGCCCAACTCTATCTGGTGATTCGAGTCTAATAGGTGTTTACCTATCGGGGAAGCCGGCGGTCTGCGAGAACATGGAATTTGACGAGGGTAGGCAATCTGAGCAACTTCACGTTGAACCCATGTTGGTAATTGTTCCTTTGTGCAGCGTTCTAGTAGTTCTGCCTACGTAACTGTCTCCGCAATCAAATGCAAATTGATACACACAGTGTGAGTTAGCCCTAATAGGCTGACCTTCCTTCGTTGGTATGGGCAAATTTCAGGTTCGGTTGATGAGGACTACTTGTGCAGCATAGTAAGTTCCTTGGGTGGCCGAAATTATACGCTTAGTTATCTTCAGCATGGATAAATCACCTTTGAAAGGTAACTCGATATACACTTTCCTCTTCGCTGCCCTGTACTTTCTTGGATCACAGACTACGAGGTCTGACAATAGGCAATACATTTACAGTGGTAGAGAGAGCCACAGATCACGTTTACTTTAATCGCTGCATAAATTACTCAGTTCATGTAAAATGACAGCATACAACACCATATCACGTAATCAAAACGACCCATACAAACAGCAGGGAAACAAAAACTAACCAACCCACCTAGATTTTTGTCCGGAAACCACAGACGATAACCTTGGATGGTACATAAAAACGTACGGGAACGCTGTAATCAGCAAGTCCACAACTTGCCGTTGTTCAATACTTCCTATTACCATTTTTGCCTTTATTTTGCTCACCCCTAACCGATCATCCGGCGGGACATGTCAAGCTTCGACTTCTTTAACCCGCAATATACTATTGACCATTGGCCAACTGGGGAGCGTAGGCTTTCCTATGTCCATGTGAGGCAACGATCCCTGCGTACACGGGTAGAAAACGTTTAGTTGGATATCCTTTTCCATGCAGGTAGCATAAATAAACAAGCCGCGGTAGGAAAACATGGTAAAGTGAGACCAACTCCTCCACGGACATTGCATAACATGTGATGCCAAGCAGAAGAGGGCACTGTCTTCTCTATCTTAATTCCAAAGTTAATACAGCGTAAAGATCAAATTGCAATACTTCAAAACTAACAAGAAGGATAGCGAACAAGGTGCGGTAATAAAACGGGACCGATGGAACTGCCGCAGTGATCAATAGTCATCTCTCCAGAATGAGATGGCAAATCAGTGCAGGAAATGAATCGTGTCTGGCTCTGAACAGGCTTCATAGGCTGGCGAAATCATGAAAAATAATCGCGGTGTCGAGTATATGAAGAGAAGGATATCCCAAAGGTATATTCAAGAAGCGGTATGTATTACATCGGCACAGAACAGTTAGTGATCCGAGACCGAGCGGAGACTACTCGACCCAAATGTATACTTGAGGATCTGATCCTTTCATACCATAGAAAGTCCGAAAGTGATTTTGATTCGAGCATGTCAGTATTTCGGAGTTAATAGAAATTGCAGCTGGATTATGTAATGGAGATATGCAGAAACAGAAACCACTAGATCGATAAGTCACAGCAGATTTGAACATGCTATTGATCTATCTGATCAGCTGAACACTAGTGGGTAGAGGGGAAAGATGGCCTCGGAATTCATACCACTAGAGGGCTACTGTCTCTACCGGAATTCTATCTGTTCCAATGACACTACCTTAAAAAGCCCGAACAATAGTACTGGTTCATGTAGTAAACCTCCTCGACCGAACCAATCACGCGCCAGGTACCAACAAAAATCCTTTCGAGAAACCGAGCGGTCGGTGTCCCAAAAGCGAAGATTTCATTCCATCAGTAGCAGTCGTTCACAGCAAAGAAAGAAAAAGTTGATTGTTAAGCAGCAGCCTACCGGATGGTACCAAGTGAGCAGCATTACGCGGAATTTATCGCTGGCTCCAAGATCAAATTCAAACGAGCCCGTAGCAATAAGCGGAGTGGCAGGTGATCAACCGCCACAAGGCAAGCGTAGGAATAGGCGTCGCCGAAGAACTGCCAACAAATGGTTTGGCCAAGATCGATTCCCATCTCCCAACTCATTGAATTCCACTCTGGGTCTCCTCCGTGAACTGCCGTGTGCCCGGATGCATTATGACAGTTTTAAACGCATATTTCAAATATTACCCACAAGGACTATGAAGGAGAAGAAATTTCGTTTAGAGGCGGCTAGAGAACTTCCATTTGCGAAGTACCCGGATGATCAGGTGCGCAGCATTTTGGATGACAGCTGGCGTACAAGGGGCGCAACGAGCCAGGAAAAGGATGCCGAAACGTGGAATAGCAGGATGGAAGAAATGATGCAGAAGATATCGGACTACGATGCACTAGGACAAAGAGAGGGGGATATCAGGACAATAAACGATGCAAGCGATACAAGTATACGTACGAAAAAGGATTCATCGAGAGATAGTTCTGAGGAAGAGGAAGGCGGGGAAGAGGACGGCATCGAGGAGACTGACGATTCAATGGTGGGTGCACCGAGCAGGACAGACACACCCAGTGCAAAAGAACTTAATCTAGAGAGTCAGACCCTCGAAGAACAACGACACCCGTCCGCGATAACATCGCTGGCGAACCGCCCGTCGACGACAATATCAGACGACTTTCTATCTTTGAGTGAATCTGAGAGCAAAAAGGAATCACAATTGCTATCCGTGGAAAGGGATCAAACAGCAAAGAATGAATCACTGCCATGTGCTGATTTAGACAGTGAAAACAATACTTTACTACATATTCCACTAGCCAAATACATGGAAGTACCAGTAATTGAGAAGGATGGAACGCGACGATGCAGTGTGAAACCATCGCGATCAGATGTGGTAGGTCGAAAATGGGAAAGTGGAGGCGAAGGAAATGTTGTGCCAGTTTCACAACATTCGACAACACAGACGCAATCGGAAGACCATAATGCGCCGGAACACGCAAAAAGGGATGCAGTTGAATCGGGTGAACGGATAATCACTCCACAAGCAGCAGTCAGCCTTTTTGAATCCGCCTGCGTTGGTCAAACACTCGGCGTGCTTTTCTGCGGTGCATGTGGGCAACCAGCCTATCCAGCGGAGCGATGCGAAGCTGACGGACAGGTATTTCACGGAGCATGCTTTCGATGTAATCAATGCGGGACCATGTTACAACGGGGGGCATGGAACCAACGCGGGGCCTCGTACTATTGCAATCCTTGCCATCGCCGGATCGCTTTGCAAACACTGAGACACTAACCAACACTGCGCGTCTCATCAAGCTAACGCAGTCTCGTCCGAACTGACCATTCGCACATGGTACATCGTTATTCAAAGTACGGCTTGACTTGGATAAAAGAATCCGCCTCATTTGTCTCAGTTGCAAAATTCACAACTTAGTTTCAGACTAGCTTCAACCGTCATTTGCGGAAATAAATATTCCAACTGTCTACCGATAGCAGAGAAGTTGATGGGACTCGTGATGCGCATAGAATTCGATAACGGAACTTCGAGGGGTGTACGATGCGGAACAGGTTGAGCCTGATCGTTGTCGATGTTTTCTGGAGAAGCTGAAAGTCGCGATTGACCAAGCTTCAAAAAGAACAAGGTTTGGAACAATAGTTTATGACGGGTAAACAGCATAGGATTAACATGTCTCGTAGGTTGATAATAGAAGAAATTGAACTTCGACTACTACCTGAATGGACCAACTAAAAATCACATCAGTAAAGCGATAGGCTAATGGCGTATAGAAGGAGGGTTGTGGGAGTTAGTACCAGGCAAAACGGAATAATAAGTTGTTAAGTTTAATATTCATCGCTCACCCCTCGGCACAGATTTACGTGAGTCATTATAGGTGACAATTACAAAGAGGTTAGTTAGACTGAATAGATCCAGCATATCCGTTCATGTAACAAAGTGTAGGGCGTGCAATTCTATGTCTATTAGTTCTATAAAAACAACTAAAGTGGGGCCACAGACAACTGAGTTTGGAAGGGCGTTCTACGGTTGGTAGACCTGGATAAACAAGTTTGTCGACAATCTAGACGACTGCATTGTCAACTCCGCTTCAGGCCTTTGATTACGATTTTCGGACTGAGTTTCAGTAGGTGACGGCATACGCGAGTGGGGGTCGCTCACCATTTGGTAAACTAATATGAGGTCTTCACGTAGCCACCGGTAGGGTCCACTGAACACTCCGGGTCTCTTCAGTCCTGGTTGCTACTGAAGGTTGCATAACCCCTGACAAATGTCATTGCTCGACGTTGGGCAGTTTCAAGCGCTGCAAAGTCACACTTTAGTCAAGGATGCCAAGCCTGGATTCCGTATTCGACGTGGGGACGCACGTAGGCTTTGAACATCGGAGAGAAGCTGGATGCATCCAAACTCCAGAATGTCCTCCGCAAGAGACTAACATATCGGTTATCCCTATTTGAAGCATATTCTGACTATCTGGAACAACTGAGGTTATCCTGTACCACCACACCGAGGTCACGTTCCTGAGAGCTTCTTTGCAGATCTTGCGCTCCAAGTTTGTAGAGATAATCGTGTCTAGGCGAATGTGAACAACGCTGCACTTGTTCACTTTGAATAGCAGCTCGTTTGGGGATCATCTATGAATTCACAGCTGTGTGTTGTGTAATAAATGAGCACACCCTCTCCCCTACCAGTTCAGTTGTTTCGGAGAATTGACATACCGGGTAGAGTGATCTCAAGGTCGGTAATCTCACAGTTCAACCACGTTTCGATATGCACTGTGATTTCTCGATGCTCTGAACTTTGAAGATGACGGTGTTCGAAAAAAGTTACTAATAAGGTCTTGTGCATTAGTATACAAGCAGGACACTAATCTACTCTGGGGTGGAAACAGCATAGCAGTTGGGTTATGAGTAGGAATGAAAGTAGTATAGCAATTTTGTGTTGCAAAAAGGAGAGTGGAATTGGAAGTCCGACATATTACCAAGGTGGAATCGAGTGTGTACGCCGCGAACTGAAGATGTTAAGACCCCACAGCTTTGTCTGTCAGACAACAACCGAAGGGGCATCATGACAAGTACTCCTTGGCCTAGTCAGTCTTATTCGGTTGATAATCTGCTTGACAGGCCAACTGACACACAATGACGGTCCATAAGTAGATAGTCGGTCAGTAGTGCAGCGGCACGGTTATGATTGTGGCTTACTGTTTCCCATCGTCCAGCTATGTGTTCCTGTGAAAGGTGAAAATACCAATCCAAGAACTAACTAAATGTATCAAATTTCAAAATTGTGAAAACGACCGGGCATAATCGACCACTCCAACGATCTGAGCAGTGTCCACCTACAACGTACGCATGTTAACGGCTGATCGTAGCAGATAGAGCGTCACTTATAGTTCAGTGCATTGTGAATTCACAAGAAACCAGGAGTGGTCTTCAGATCATCACTGTAGGAAACGAGCGTGGCCATTCCCAAATATTAAGACACACAGATTGATGACTCAAAAGAGAAATCGCTTCCCTGACATAGCATACGCTGTGTTGCTTATGTTATTATTAGAGCTCCGTGCAGCAGTCCGCAAGAGTGACGTAGCAATACATCCGAGTGCGCACAACAGATGACGGTTGTGACGGCGTTCTCGATAAGTAAGGGTGATCCAGGTTCCTTGAAATGTATATGGGTAACAAATTCCCTAACTTGGCCCAAAATGGTGCAGCTTTTAGCGTGGGAACGTAGACGATATCCTGCCATCAATGGTTTTGTGCGGGCCAAAGCTGTCCAACACATTCTCAACCGAGTTTCACGTATAGCGTCCCTCGGAAGTTAAGATAAGGCTAATATCCTCAGTGTACAATGAATTCCTCGATGGAAACAAGTAACAGGTCTCTCTACTCCGGTAACTGCAACGGTGTTGACTGTAAGCGCAATTCACAAGCTGGAGTATGACACTATATAACTCTGGATTCCCATCAATAACTTGTTTGCCCACTCTATGCCCCATGGCTACATGCCTTCCCGACATAAGTGTTATGTAATTCGCAAGATGAATAACATGATTTAATTCTTGACTCCTACCACCTATCCGCTCACCCAGTTTATGTGCCATGGTTACATGCCAACCGACATAACTATTATGTAAGTAGCAAACCGCATGTCGGGATCTCAGTCTGGATGACCAAAGCAGGGGCCTGCCCCAACTGGGATGAGCGTCGGCTTACCGAGTATCCCACATGTGAACTCATATCGATGTTGCCACTACTTCACTTCACTTCTCACTGTGGAGACCGTACGCTCACACTGTGCAACCCGTCGAGACCACCCCACCCACACAAATCTCAGACTTGAATCATCCTTCCGCCCCAGGGGCACGCACCTCCATGTCCCTCCCACCCCCCACTGGTTGACTGAGCCAAGCCACTCCAAAAGCCCAGCCCAGCGCGTTCCATTTCCCACACTGTATAGCGAACCAAAGAACCAAGGGTTAACGGACCTAATAAAACAAAGGTCATAGTCCGATCGTGGACTCGGTATCGTGTGACTCTTTATGTGCGGTGGCAAGTACCGCTTGCAATCCCTTTGGACATTGTGAAGATCGGTTGTTTCGGAGCTGATCGGGTATTTGTCGAGGTATGTATGTATTGGTTGGCTAGCCGAACAACTCCACGTGGTGCCAGCCGGGTGGTTCGGGTTAATCCCGCTCCAGCTAATAGTTCGGCGACAGTGTTCCAGGACGTGGTGGGTTTTTGCCTGGGAGCGTTCTACCTATAAAAAGCCACCTATGTCTGCTTAACAACACTGGGACGTGGCGGATATGACTAGCCACTAAATAAAGTCATTGCCATTTGCCATACCGAAGGACCTTACCCATTTCGCGAAATTCAAAGATTTCATCTGAGCCATTCCTATATTGGCGAATTTACCGAACAAACCCACAAATGCACAATAATAGTAACAAATTCACTCAACATGGTGGCTTACACATGAACCCGTGTACATACTGCACGCACATGCACACATATATCCAGTATGTACTGGTTAAGTTGCAACATTTCTGTACCATTACTGACGTTACGCGTTTGTATTATCGTGATCGTGCCTTTTAAGGCGTCTGGCATCATCGAGAATAAATCATTTATTTATTTACTGTATTTTCATTGATATTTGAATAGTGCCGTAGTTGACGTCTCGGCTTCCATTTTTGCTTGGACCAGGAGTTTTTACGTGTCACTCGAGCCCCAAAGCGATTCTGTCGCTTACAATGACTATTATTAAATGTGAACTTAAAAGTTGTAAATAACTCGCGACATTTGTCGTTTTCCACCATCAATACGGTGGCAGTTAGAACAGGAAAAATGGAGTTTAAGGCACAGCAGCAGCGGTTTCTACTTCCATTCCATTAGAGAAGTCAAATCAGGACGCTTGTTGCTTTTCAAGGGTCTACAGTTTCTCTTCACAGGTTCTGATGCGAATCAATGTTAGATGTGAGTCACAGTAAAGCACTTTTTTTAGGTTAGTTCACTCGAATAACTATGACCGGACAACGGTGTGCGATTGAACTAGTTGTCTTGAATCACGTTGCCAGAAGGATAATAACAACGGTAAGAGGATGAAGTTATACGCAAAAAGAATACGGAGAAAGTAGGGTCAGAAAACGATCGTTAAACTAATTAGGAAGGGATAAAAATTAAAGGAACACAGGTAGGCCACTGACTGCGTGACTGTGCCATTTTGATAGTCTCCAAACACTGGAGTAGACCATTCCGAGACTCCCATCCAAAAATACGACACTCACCAGCCTGATCAAGTCTTTCAGTCATGTATCAATGTCATGCTTTAGACTAGCCAACTCACGGTCTCCCCTAACTTGGAGCAACGAAGCCTCATAAGGCACGCCGAGAAAGGCGGTCAGAGGGCATACGGAACACATGATAAAGACAACATATGCCGTTAACCTTTAGCAAACAGTTCAGCAAGACACCATAAGGTTTCTTGTCATAAACCTAGTGGTGGACGTCCGCATTGCCTGTCCGGTGTTCCCACCACACGAGAGCAATAATCCGCAAGCATCAGTGATCAAACACAGTTAGGTGTTTTATATTTTCAGTGGAAACTGGTGATATATGTAATCCATAGAGCAACAGATTTGGCGTTACACATCCTACCGTTTGATGACAGGCTGATACCCACAGTCGCTATAGATAGTTGAGCCTCTGAATAGCCACAAGGGACGTGCTGATATGCAAAGTAACTTCACAATGATGTAGCCACCAGATCGACAGACA